GTACCGTGCGCTTGGTTCGTGGACCCTTGAGAGAAGCGGGGGTGAAGGCTACCCTTAAAAATAGGCCGTTCCCTTCAGCCGCCTTTCCAGGCGTTTGTCCCTCGGCCAGCGGTTCCGTGGAGAAACACGCTGAGCCCTCTGTGCCTGGGCTCCCCCACCGCGTCGGAGAGGCGGCCCAAGCACGCCTGGCTGCTCGGTGGGCTAGAAACAGCTCCTCGGTAATTCCTGGCGTCAAAGGGCCGCTGTGGTACTCGAATGCATTTCAGCACTCTGCTGTGTACCGCTTTTAGGTGTGGGGCTTGGCACAGTCATGCAGCTTTCTGCCCGCGAAGACATCGGAGGAAAGACTATAGCTAGAAGTAAAGATGTGGCCCCTTGTAGCCTTGGTTAGGTTTGAGGTAACTCTTATGCCTTTGGAGGTATTAGTCTGTCTTCATCTTTTTAAGCTTTGTAGTGCTCGGAATGTCTGCAATTACATAGCCTGTGGTCCCTCCAGGGATAAAGTGGGAAGAGCATCTAGCTTAAAAGAGAAAGCTGGGCATCCTGTTTGGCTTAATGATAAAGGATTATTTGGGCAGTGACCATGGCTGTGTGGAAGCATGAGAAGTGACAGACTGAGAATGTACTTTGCATCCCAAGAGAGAGTTTGAAGCTTGGGTTTCCATTTGTACTCACTGACTGCAGACTGGGGTGTCCAGGATGGGAGAATACAGTGTTTACTTGGAGCAGGTCTGGGTGAGTTGGATACACATGAGCACATTCTTTGCTTCTGGCATACTTCACAGGTTTTCACTGTTACACACCTGTTTTAGTGCTTATGTGGGTGCTTTTTCACCCCCCTCCCCCCACCCCCGATTTCTAGCACTCTGTTTGAGAGGGATTATACACCAGGAGGCCCAAGATGTGGTAGCGTGTACTTTTTTTCTTCAGAATTCATATCCTTGTAAACATTCAGAAAAGCAGTAGGAGTGCTGTCTTATTGTAGCACTTTAACTTGATAGCCCTGCAAACAGGAGATTACTAGGCAGAATTGTACATGATGGTAGAGACAGGTTATAAACCTGAAACCACATGAAGATTGCTGAGCTCAACTCATTCATTCCTATTCTTTGCAGAGAAGTCTGGTCGATGGTTAGCTGCTGGCCAGTTGGGTCAAGGGTTGTACTGTGAGGACAAGGCTGAATGCCATTTCCTCATGTGCCAGCCACATGTTTTCTGTAACGTTAATTCAGCAAAGCTAAGTGTGTATTTGGTCACATTTAGGAGTAGGAAAGTTATTCAGGGTCATCTCATTACTTCTTTGCAAGCGTGGTGGACTACAGATCACCTGAGTGATCTTTAATGTTCAGTGAAACTTGAAGAAAGCTTTGTCTTCCTTTAGGTTTCACTGGAGACTATATAGAAACAATGTGATTATCTCGATCTACTGGCCTTTTTTTGTAATGTCTTAAGTTCAGTCTTCAATTCCTGCTTTCTGTAATGAAACTATAATTGATCACACTGCTGTTTTAGTAATGTAGGTGGGGCCATCCTGGGATTTTTCTGTAGCTGCCTAGCTTGTTTCATGGCCAATTCAATAACAGCTGTCAAACTGCAATCCTTCTGGGCCATTACAAGTTTATGTTGGGAGTTAGTTTCATATTTCTAATATTCCTCCCCCCCATTCATTTTTTCCTGTCCCTTTCCAATAGGTTTGATAGGCTCTTAGCAGTGCTGGCCACTGAGGCAGTGATAGTGAAGGAATTACGCAGCAATTACTTGCTTTGTTTTTCTAAAATAATTTTTACTCAAGTAGTTTCATTTTTAAGAATGCCATTTCTGTTTCATAACTGCATGTTAATTGTAAATACAGCCAATATTTTGTGATAGAAATATTAATTCTAAATCTAAAAGGAAATAATTTAGTACTTTTTTTGGAATGGTTTTAATGTATTTTCTAGCACCATCATTGAATAGAAATGGTGCATTTTTTTTCTAGAAAAGAAAGTTCACCTAAATGATTTTGCTGGACTAGTTCATGCATTAGCTAATACATCAATGAAGTACTACTTCATTTACATGCAAACCCCCTCTGCAATATACTACTTGGACCTTCTTGATTTTTTTAAATAGGATATTGTCTGATGTTCAATATGTAAAAATAACAGCAGTCCCATTCAGCAGTAGAAAATACATAGCATGAGAAGAGCATCACAGTTACAGGAAATAAGATGAGGTAGAAAAATAAAGAATTCCTTTTTCATAAAAAAAGTTACTAACTTTTAAGAACATGTTCCTTAAAGAAAAGCAGTTTTAACTAATAGAATTATAAGCAATTGGTTCCATGCAGTAACTTTGCTATTCCCTAAAGATACTTGCGCATGGTTTTCTAGGCTATATTCGAAACTGCCATTGTGCACACTATACTGAAGAGTAATTGCAGGGAGCATATCTGAATGGATTGATAGTGTACTTGGAGTTCGGTTTCATGCTGTGACACATTTGAAATCACTTAGCTCATATTTTGTTATGATGCCCCTATTTGTCAGGTTCTGTTTCTGCAAACCATGTAGTTCCACAGCTGCATTTGCTAATAGTATCTTGTCCTTGTGGGAGCAGGAACTAACTGGATGTCTGTAGTGTTGGATCATGATATGGAACTGTGCTTCAGGTGAAACTCTTTGATTTTTTTTTTTTTTTCTTTTTATTTCTTTTTGCTTCTGAGCTACTCAGTTGCATTGCTCAGAACTCTTCTGTTTCAGGAATCAAACTAGATTTTTTTGCATATCTTCTGTTTTTCCGTCTCCTAGTCCAATTGCAACTGTTGTCACTGTAGACAGCATGCTGGTGGTATAAACTCAGGTGCTTTTATTCCAAACCAAGAATTAAATTAATTTTCAAAGTCTTATGATTGAATGTAGGCTTTAGGTGAACACTTTAATTCAGTTATGTAAATTACACAGTTACATGCTTTCCTAGTTATTGGACTACTTAAAACAACAAAATAGCAGAAAGACCTTAATGTTTTGCTTTATAGGGAAGATTAATGTGTTTTGGACATACCTGCTTGCAATTATAATTGGTACATCAAATGAATATTCAGGTATTGATACAAAAATAATTTCCAGGTTTTTATGATTTTTCTTCATTTCCAGAAAGCTTCTGAGAATTCTGTATCATACAGACTTCCATCAGGGCATGGGAACTTGCCTGGGCTTTGTTTCCTCAGCAAAAGGCGGGACCACTTTTGGTTAGGAGGTGGACTGCTGCTTTTGAGTTCAGGGTTGCACACTGTCAGGTTTACTTCTTAATTCTTTCCTACCTCTTGATGTTTCTTGGAGAAAGTTGGTTGTTTTCAAATTTAATATGTGAGGGAGTATAGGGAGGAGCCTTTGTTTATTTGTCCTGATTATAGAACTGTCAAATGGATGTGTAATTAAATTACTCTTTGTCTGACAGAGGTTCTTAGCAAATCCTTGCAGTGGCTGAAATAGTTAAGATTCAGAAAATTTAAGATAAATGTTTGAATTTTTCAGAAAGATCAGACACTGTTGAAATTCGTGAAGTAAAGGTGAAAGACTGTTGAGTTTGTTTGACTTAAGAAGATGTTAGTAAATAAAGTAGCCGGTAGAGTGATGATAGGGACTTCTTTACTCCTTTTCAGAAAATAACTTGAGCCATAACTGAGTTGCCAAGCACTTGGACTCCCTTTTACCCTAAAATATGTTCCTGGTATAACCCTGGACATCTTTCAGAGCGAGTTCTTCCTGTTGTAAGGTATAGGAGAAGGTTAGTACCTTCCTGTCCAAACTTCAGGTTATTTTTGTGTTCAGATATTCTTCTGTGGGGAATAAGGCAGTGTTTGTTTAAAGCACTGAGTAGCTTGGGGTTTGCTCCATGAGGTTACCAAATTGCGTGAAAATTGCTGTCAGTACTTGAGAAACTGTGAAGCTGGTGTTTTGCATATTCCCTTCTAGATGACTGTTTTCAGCTGTTTTTACTTAATACAAATGTTGTTATAAATATTTATTTACCCTGGTTCCTAACAGAAGCTACACTGTACATGTTGATGTTTGTTTTGGATAATGGAACCCAGTGATGCTTGTTCCCCTTGTGGTGTTTTTCCTGTTTTCACTTGTAAGTTTCTAAATGTCAGCACATCAGGGGAATTTTGTTTTTATACTGTTTGTTAGAAATAGCAAATTTGATTAGTATTTTTAGTTCAAGGATGTTAGCTTAACTTGCGCTTCCAATGTTTCAGCAAATAAATGTGTTTGAATAAGGGGTTTAAGTGTTTCTGGCTGCCGGTACTCCTAGTGATCGTATTAATACTGAAGATGGAAGGTGTGTAGTATACAGGTTTAGCAGTGTAATAACACGAAAAATCTGAAAATTGAGGATTAGTGAGCTATATTCTTACTGTTTTTGAAAGTTGTACTTGCTAAAGCCCTAAAATACCCTAAAAGAGGGATACTGTAAACTTAGTATCCAAACCTGCAACTGTATCTGTTGATGTGGAAGTTACTGATGTGGATGTGAAAGTTACTCATGTGTTGTAAGACAGATCTATGAAATTGCTAGTAGATTTGGTACCTGCATTTGCAGTAAGTGGTGAAGAGATTAGAAGGAGTTCTGTTGCAAGTGACTTGGGTTTTGTTTCTTTTGACAGAGTTTTGAGCTCCATTTTCTTGCTGTTTCTTTTGGCAGCCAGTATTTGCGTGGAACTTTTATTTTCGTACAGGAAAGAGAAACAGCTGGTAAAATACGTGAATGAATGTAGACCCAAGATAAGAGTCAAGGATTATCTTTGTGTCTTTGAGGCTGTGGCTACAAATACTGTGAAAGGTGAATCTGAGACTAGTACTATGCAGCCTTGTCTTTTATTTGTATAAAATACGTAATTATCTGAAGGAATAAAAGTCTTGCACTGACAGTTTCAATTCTAGGTCACCTAACACACTGGCATTGGGAATATTAACCTGCTTTGGAGCATTAATAAGACCCTCACCCACTTTGGAGCTGTCTCTTCTTTTACTTGCAGGGATGTAAGGTAACAGTAGGAGATACTACTCTGGACAAATGCAGTGATTCCTTAGCAGATACCTTCAGCTTGCAACAATAAAATAAGGTTTTCTTGTGCAGCCATCTCTGGAAGTAGAACTTGGGATTTGAATGCCAAACACGATTAGGTTTTTGAAGCATGTGCGAATTTCTTTCCTTGCAGTGTCTCCCCCAGATAAACCTGTATGATTTGTGAAATGGTTGTCAATACTGTATCTGTGTTGAATTGCTAGCAGAGTTTAAAGCCCAGGTTTGTTTCTGTTGAGCCAATGAGGTGATGGGCTTCTAACTGCACATTAGAGTTCAAATTAAATGTTTTGGGTTTTTTTTATGGGTGCTCACTGGCATAAGCTGCAGTTTAGGAGAGCATTGCCATCTTCGTAGATTCTTCTGTCCGACAGATGTCAAGTAGACAACTGTTCTCAGTTTTACTGTTGGAAAGTTTGTCCCAATCCTGCAGATTAAATAATAACTACACACTTCTGTATCTGTTTCACGGAGTGCAATGTCTGTTGTGCCTTCTTGTACAGTTTAAGCTGCAGATTAATTCTCTAACTTGACTGTGTTAATAGTAGTGGGATTTTAATCTTCTTTTTTTACCTGTGTGCTTATTTTTGTGGATTTACCTACTGATCTTTGCTCTTCTCTTCAAATTGTGACCTACAGGTGGATTCTCATACCCTTGTATGATCAGGTGTTTCTGATAAGTCAGCTTTGCAAATTTTTCTTCTGCTCACTTGGCAAAGCTGAAAAAGGCTTGTAGTAAACATTGATTAGAGGCAAATGTCAAGTTTAGGATAGGTAAGATGAGCAAGTGGTCTTCTGAACAGCATTCATTAGAAACTGCTGTAAAGATTCAGACAGAGGAGTGTCTTGGGTTTTGCCCTTCTCTTGAAGTTTATCCTCTGTCAGCAGGAGTGTATCTGCTTACCCACTCACTCTACCAGGTGAAACTCATCTAATCCTGGTGAAGAAGTTACAGGTCAGTAAGTATTCCCACAAGTCACAATTGTTGGGGCCTAGTACATGACTGCAGATGCTGAAACCCAGAGTGCTTTTAGGTAGGAGAAATTTCTTAAGTAGTTTACAAAATCTCACCTGTGTTATTGAGGAGAAGAAATTTAATAATTTTGTAACTCTTAAAAAATGTTTTCCAGACTGTACCACTCCCTAATTTGTGTTAAGCCACAAACTAAAAAAAACTCCTCTGAGTTTGACAGGAATGATGGTGGCAGTCTGCTGGCAATTTATAGAACACTTGCAAAGCTGGAGCTGATGGCTGGCTGTTAATGGCCTGCCAGAACTTGGAGCACAAAGTAGCTGTCTCTTTCACAGTGTTTCTGGTAATGTGTTAAATAAGCAAGGCTGGAAATATATTTGTAAGTAAAATACACTGTCATTGATGCTGGTACATTCATGACAGAACAGCTGGCATGATTCTTCAAGTTGCTTATTTGTACAGAGTGCATAGTTATTGAATTGTCTCTTTGTTTACCTACAAGATGTTTACTGACAGTTTCTCAGAAACAGATTTTTGTCAAGCCTTGAAATGTTTATCTTAAAGTTCAAGTGAACTAAATAAATCAGTGTAGTTCCTGGTTATGCTTTCGTTTAGTGGTCCAGTTCAAACTCGGTAGGTCTTGTGACTATTCAGCAAGGTCTCACTCCTTGACATGTGGGGACATTTTTTCAATCCTTCAGTTTCAGATGCTTTCTCTATTATATGGGGCTTTTTGAGGGCTGGGAGAGTGAGGTATTATATTTTGACAGAAGTAGACATTGGGGATTTTGCAAAGACTTGTTTGTGAGCAATGCAGAACTGCATAGCGCTATAAAACTTCTCTGCTTTCTTTATTTGTAAGTAGCAATTTGAGATCTTGAAGGTGGGAGACAGAGGAGAATTTTAATCCAAACTATCAATAGTTAGTGGAAAACATACACAATATTCTCAGGTTTAGCTGAGACACTTTAAACTGTTTAAAGGAAAAAAAAAGAACCAAACAAACCACCTAACACCACCACAGTAAGGAATTGCCAAGTGTGCTCATTATTTGAAATGACTTGAATGGTAGAATGTGGTGCAGGTAAAGGTTGCCCAGCTCTTAAAGGCAGGCGGTTGGTCTGATGCTTCTTTATGATGTGTGTAAAAATAGTGCTGGCTGCTGTTACACCAGCTGGTTATCACTGAACCATGCTTGCTGTAGGCAGACTTAAAAAGAACAAGCATTGAGTAGCTGTATGTCTACCCTCTTCCCTAGTAATCTAGTAATCCGTTGCTGAATGGTGTATTTCTAACCCATTCACAGTGAATGTCTGACAGAAGTGCTGTTGAAGTCAGGCATCCCTTGTGGGGATTTGGATGTGGTGCAGGGGAGCATGCAGGACACAAGTGTTAATCTTCAACTTGGGAAATTTTTTCCAGTGCAATGTAGCTACAGAGCTAATAGCATTAAAGGCTCCAAATTCTAAGCCCTGTTGAAGAATGCAGGCCAGGTTTTTTCCTCTTCCTTTCTTCTCCCTTCCATAGTATTTCTTGTTAATATAAAACATACCACATGCTTTCTCTTGCTATTACTGTGCTTGAAAACAAATCCTCATGTAACCTGTCCAGAATCAATGCAGAAAGATCTCAAAGGGAGTAGACTCAAGGAGATCAGAGAGAGAGGGGTTGCAAGAAAGGAAATAAACTCTAAAGCCAACTTCCTACATTGCCTGAACTGCACTCTCTTTCATCTTCCTGTGAGAACACTTTTTTCCACATTGATTTCTCAATTAAAATTAGGAAGAGAGTAGACTTCAGTCTAATGTTGAAGTTGGGGGTAGGACAAGATGCCTTTAGGCTTAGTAATAGGATACCTCTTAGTCACTAGGTTTAAATGGAGCATTAGGTGTACATCATCAAACATTATCCTACTTTGCAGCTGTTTGGTATTGTCAGTTCAATTCCTACAGATTAGTTTTTTAGGATGCAGTGCTGTGCTAACTACTACTCTTATTTCTGGTCTTCTCTGCAGTAGAAGAGAGTCAACAGACTAAAAAGTGTCTTGCTGTGAAAGTTTATAGGAGCTTTTGAGTCTTAGCTATCACTCTGAATTTGTACTGAACTCTCCTTTACATTTTGGAAGACATTATACTATTGAACAAGTATTTTTAAAGGTTTTGGGAGTGTTTGAGCCTTTCCTGTTACAACAGAATAGCTGGTAACTGTCTTGTCAGAATCAAACACCAGCTCTAGTTACTGTATCAGAAGTGAATGCTGGGCCCTTTGAATTTATTTAGTATGAATTGTATTTGTGTATTAGAGGATTTCCGACTAAGTTGTTAGTAGCATGAATTAATACCCTAATTTAATTCTGGGTTTGTTTTTTTGGGTGTGGGGGTTTGTTTTTGTTTTTTAAAGGGTGCATATAGTGCCCTGCTCATATTTTTAAGAAGGGTATTTGGCAAAGTTAAGAATACTGATCTCAGAAAAGGTTCAAGGGAAGTGCTTTTTTTGTAATGGTAATGTCAAGGAATTTGGGATTGTCTTTGGAATCAGAATTTGTGGATTTGATATTTTTCCCTGAGAGGCTGTATGTGATCATAGTTAAACAGATAGGAGTCTAGATATTAATAAATCAGTTATGAACAAGCACCAAAAGAGTCCTCTGAGCAGAGCTGATAGAAGGCAGCGTGTTCTTGGCTGTGTTCAGGTCTAGCGGAATGGGAGTAGCATCACTGTCAGCACAAGTCGTGCATGGCTTGCCTTGGCTTGCTCACAGAAATGAGGGGCAGACTGAAGCAAAATCTGCAAGTCTTTACCTGGTTTGCCACTTAAAACTCTTTTGTCTTCTCAGGTTCTACTCTACAATATTCTGTACTCGGAACCTAGTCTGTCTTGCTGTAATGGGCAGAACTCAGGGAAACAACCAGAATTGTTGCTTTCATGGTACAATACCCAGAATACAAATGGAGTTTTGAAGATGTGTTCATAAGTATTTTAATTTTATTAAATTGCCACACCAGTTTTTACATGTAGCCTTGTGTGCATAGTGCATACACCTTTTCTACCCTTGAAGATTTTTGGCACCTTGTTTGTGGTCAGGAGTGCACTAAACATTCAAAAAAAAAGTTAAAATTTACCATACAAAGTTAAACATTTTGGATACTGAACTACTTTCCAGAACTGATTTGAACAGCATGTACTGAAGACTGCACCTTCACTACTTTGGGAAGCTTTATTTTTGTCTGTTTAAATTTTCACTCCATGTTGTGGGGTTAACAAACTGACTTAACAGTTTGCTTGCCTTCAAGGGCAAATAATTGCAGCATTGTCATGCGTGTTCCAGTTTTTTCTTCACCTTGTGCAATGTGATTGTGTGGAGTATAATGTTAATTACACAAGAAGGTATCCTTCAGTTTCTTTCCAATTAAGAATGTGATGATCCTATTTCTTTTTGCAGATGTGGAGGTACTGTTGGTGCAATTCTGACATGTCCACTGGAAGTTGTGAAAACACGATTGCAGTCCTCGTCTGTGACTCTCTACATCTCTGAAGTCCATCTCAACACTGTGAATGGTGCTAGCATCAATCGAGTAACAAGAGTTTCTCCTGGACCTCTCCATTGTTTGAAGTGAGTGTATATGTTACTAGACTTTTGGTTGATTTTGGGGAGCAAGGAGGAGAGGTGTGTTGGACAAATTGCTATGAAACGTTCAGACTCTTATGTCTGTCATGGTGCTACCATGAGATGGCTTTCCATATTTTGCCATTTAACTGTAATTGTTTCACACTCCACTTTTCTGAATGTCCTTTGTGCTTGAGTTTGTACCTTGAATTAGCCGGAGCATATATACCCTGTACAATACACAGCTTCAAACTATGTCCCCAAGACTCACTGCAAGTGCTGTAGTGCTTAAGTGCCAGACTGTATTTTCATCCTGAAAAAGTTAGTATAAGACTTTTGTGTTGCTGAATATATGGGGGCAAGAAGCCCTATGAAAATTAACTCAGCTCCTTAGTAATACTGTAAGTTGGCAAAACAAAGACTAAAACTTGTTTGGGAGTTTTAGAAAGCAAGCATTCTTTATTACAGCGCCGAATGCAAAGGGGATATTTCCTCCTAGTGTGCATGCCACGCATTAAAGCAGACATTCCTTTATTCAATTTCTTATCAATAAGTTTCAGCCCATGGGGCAGTCCCATGCTGCTGATTGGTTACATCATATGCATAACACTCAGTCAGCATTTTTCACACTGTGCATGGTTAGTGAGGAAGGGTCTGGGGGTCTTTCCCACAGGGGGTGTGATTTTTAGTATTATAATGTATTATAATAAAGGACAGGTTACTTTCAGACACTATTTTTCAGCCAGAACCAGCCAAAACTAGCCAAGCACTAACAAGCAGTCTTCTTAAGGTGTTCTTGCCTACTTCAAGGACAGTTCCCTTGATTTAAAGGCTCCTTTTGTCCATCTACTTGGCAGCTTGAAGGCAAAGGCTTTGAACACATTGCTAAATAAGTAACCAAGTCCTGCTATTCTGACTATACTAAGGCCTTAATGATAACATTAGTCTCTCTGTGTTCACCACCCCATACTCTTCCTTGCCTACTCAGTGTTTTCTGGTGGATGTGTGACTAGTAACACTTTTAGAGCTAGTGAGAGATAGTTAAGGCTGGATTTTGCCATGATCTGGGACATTTTGATTGCATAGCAGCTCACTGAATGGGGACTACCTTTCCTCTTCTTGCCACCAATGCTTGTGAATTTCAGTAGCCAGCAGGAAAGTTGAAATGGCCACAGTTAAACTGTACAGACCACAGGCAGGGTTCAGTTCACTCTGGGGAACTCAAGCTAGCCAGTTATGGTGAGGTACCTTCAGTGTTTGGGTATGAGGGGAGTTTTCCTCCAGAAAGGATCTGCTACTACTTCTTGCATTAAAAAGAATTTGATAAGACTCGGACCAGTTATCTTCTATCCCCAATTAATCAGTGAGAAGTAGTTTGTAGAGAGCCCCTTCTGGCAGTTGCAATGCAGGATATGGGCTTAGTCTCATTAGAGAATAGGAGTGCCTTTAATGGAGGTTGTACCCAGATAGCTTCTTGGAAGGAAGATTGTTCTAATTGTGGAAGTTTTGATCCAGAGCCTTTTTACATATAAGAGTCTGATGGGTGAACATGTTGGGAACAGGTATGTGGGAAGCAAGGGCTCAGATTTTGACAAGGAACGAGAGCTCCATCTGAAATGCTTGCTTTATTGGCTTCCCTTGATGGAAGTTGAGCCCTTCAGCTTCTTCCTCGAATGTTTGGTTGTGAATTTATTTTTTGTTCAAAAATTTATCTGAATTAATAGCGGGATGAACAGATGTGTTTTATGTGCCCCCCTGCTAGAAGCCTGATGTGCTTTAAACCCATCCCTAAAACCTAAAATAACCTGGTCTTCCCAGGAAGCAAATTCAGGCTGAGATAGAGGTAGTCCATGATGAACTTCATTGGTAGGGCTTGTTTTTTTTTTAAATCTACTTCTTAGACATGTGGGTTTTTTATCTGTGACACAAGAATGTGTATCTTCTGCTGCTTTTGTTATTTGCTTAGATGTGTTTTCTTCCAGGTCAGTATCAAACAACTGAGATGCCAAGTAACTTTTGTGGGTTTCAAGTTCTTTAAATACAGTAAATATGAAAACATCCTGAATGACATGGCAATGGACTGTGACAATAAAAATATGTAGGCGCGGGACATAACTATTGTTGGTGTCTGCTTGTTAAGGGCTGTTTAGTGGGGAGATCAAACTGGATTCCTCTGTCATGCCTTTACTGTCACTTGGTATTTTATGACCCATAGGTGTCAGGGTTTGGTTGTCTCTTCTCATACCAAATTCAGTGCAGTACTCCTCGGCTTACAATACTCAGCCTGAAAGCAGGGGTGGATCAGGCAAATGATGTTAGAATTTCAGTTAAGTGACTGCTGTAGAATCACTTTTGCATCTTAACCGTCAGCAGAGGTGACTTCAAAGGCATCTGTGTCAGGAAAAAAACTCAGAACTAGTACAGGTGACTGCATTTTCTGGCAACAAAAGCAAATTCCCTTATTCTTAAATATGTGGTGTATAGCATGTTGCGGATGCCTCTCAATAATCAACCTTGTTGAGTTTAAACCTGAGGTCTTGATAATGGAAATCTGACCAGCCTCCCAGTGCAGACTTCCCCATGTGACATAAGCAGGTCAGCTGAGGCCATATGGAGCATTTGTGCTGATCTTCCAACCATGGATTTGCCATTTACTGCTTTCAATAAACAGTGCAGTCTTTGGAATCTGCTCTTTAATGCAAAAAGTTTGTGTCTTGTTTTCAGTGTAGGCTCTGGAACTCCTCCAGCTGGTGTCTGTGAATGCAGAAGAGTGTCAGTGTCAGTAATCACTACCATTATAAATCCTGTTGCAGCCTCTCTTTAACTCTTTGTTGCTCTGTGAAGTCCTGGGGCACTGTTGGTCTGGAAGAAGCAAATAGACCTGGTACACTTAACTTTGAAGTTTCTTTTAAGACATTGAGGTTCCTGCTGCTCTACATAAATGCATATGTTATATGTGCATATATACATGTGTAACACATGAAGTGATGGTGATAGTGATTTTTAAGGAGTGTTTTAAGTAGACACAGATCATGTTAATTGGGTTCAGCTTTGCTGTAATCTGATGCTGTGCCCATGCTGAGCTCTGGAATACACTAAGATTTTTTGAATAATTCCTCTGAAAGTGTTAGAAATACTTTGAGGATGACAGATGTCCAAATAATCTGTATTTCCAAAGTGCTTTTGAGTATGTGTTCAGTACTCCAATTACTGCTGTGGAGCAACACTACTCACATAGTGAAATCGTATCTAATTGTTATGGGCACAAAGCTGAGATGTTGCTGGACACATTATATGCCAGCATTCCTAAACAATGATGGTAACTATGCAGAACCACCATTTTATCTCTGCTTACTGGAAAAAAAAAAAAAAAATTTCAACTTTCAGTTTGATTTAGCAGCAGAACTGTGGTGAATCAGCTGCTGGAAAAGAGAATAGGTTTGGAATCTCCTTCAGTGCTATAGATGGTTTTCACCTGTATGTTCTGATAATAAATTCCAAATAAAATAGTCATTTATTATGACTGCCTGGTGGGACAACTCGCATGACTGGCATGCTGTCATGGATGGCTACAGACTCTTTAGGAAAGACAGGCCAACAAGGAGAGGTGGTGGAGTTGCTCTATATGTGAGGGAGCAACTGGAATGCATTGAGCTTGGCCTGGGGGCAAATGAGGAACGAGTTGAGAGCTTGTGGTTTATAACCAAGACAGGCTCACATGTGTGACATCACTGTGGGTGTGTACTACAGGCCACCTGACCAGGAGGAGGAAGTTCATGAGGCCTTCTACAGGCAGCTGCAAGCAGCCTCACAGTCACAGGCCCTGCTTCTCATGGGGGACTTCAACCAGCCTGACCCCCAGGGGTCAGTACTGGGCCCAGTCTTGTTTAACTTCTTCATCAATGACCTGGATGAAGAGTTAAAATGTACCCTCAGCAACTTTGCTGATGACACCAAACTGGGAGGAGTGGTGGATACACCAGAAGGCTGTGCTGCCATTGAGTGAGACCTGGACAGGCTGGAAAGTTGGGCAGAGAGGAATCTGATGAGGTTCAACAAAGGCAAGTGCAGGGTCCTGCACCTGGGGAGGAACAACCCCATGCA